TTAACTTACCGTAGTCTTATATATTATTCTCTTTGCTTTTATCAGATACCCAAATTGTATGTGGAAAATAACATTTTCATCCATCACTCAAAAAGGTTGGAAATATAGCCACTTTACCCTTCAAAAACTTCTTTAATACTTTCGAAATAAACAACACATTAGCAAAAGGCATTTACACAACCAGTATTCAATATTCTTATAAAATCTCATCTTTTGATACATACAAAGAGAAATCTTGGTAAACTTGAGAAACCAAGTGATGATCTTCCCATTCGTCTCTATACGTCTCTGGATGCGCTCTCTTCCTCACACCAGTCGCCAAATACATCTCTTTCCTCCACTCCTCTGTTCCTGAGCATCCGCATTGTGAAGCCAACCAATCATTGTACTCAAACTGTGAAACAACACAACAACAGCAAAAGATGTTAACTAGGTTCTGTTCAGTTTCGGTTTATGTTGCGGAATCATAAGTTAAAAGAGATTCTTACTTGAGTAATTCCCATTTGATGAGTATATCGTTTTGAGACCCCTTGAGCTTCAAGTGTTGCATAGAAAGATTTGATATCTTCCATCATATCTTCCTTAGAAGGAAGCTTAATCCGACCCGATCCACTTGCCTTGCAGCTCAAACAATGGGAACGGTACAACCTTTTCCATGGTATTCCAATGAAGGAGAGCAACGGCGCTAATGCCGGAGGGAAGACGTCTTTGTAAAGTGTTAGCTTTCTTTAGAATGTCACAATTCTTATCTCATCATTTAATGAGTTCACTGTGCTGAGATCTAATGAAACACCAGAACCTCGCAACCTCAATACTTTCAAATCCAGTAGATTTGATACCCAACGAAAAGGTTCCATGTGAGCTCCAATTTCAAGTAAAGCAGTTTCTTCAAGTCTTGTAGAAGCCGAGAGGCAAACATTGTGTATTTGTTTTTGACATGTTGAGATATTGCAATGAAACCAGTTCTGATAATATTCCTTCTGGCAACTCCGAGAGGTTTCTGTTCAACGATATCCAAAACAACTAGGCAGAGAGATTCTCAAATCTTGTTACTCATCAGTGACATCCTTCTCACAACTGAAAATAGCACACAACTGATGATACGCTGGCGCATGGTATCGATAGAGAGATATAACTTCCGATTTTGCAGAGGAAGTAATACCCATCTGACTAATTAGATGAGAAATATTTTACTTACACTTAATTAGATCATCAACATCGTAAATCTTCTTAATAGAAAAGATACAATAATTAAAAATACTCTTTCAGAAAGGAATTCACAGAAAGTAAAGACACATTGACAGACCACTTGATGGATAAGTTAAACAGGTTAGTCTTCGGTGTCTATCAAGCACAATCTACACTTTGATGAATAAAAGAACTCTATTGATAATTGTGTTAACAAATACAATAAACGGGGCAAGAATAAAAAGGTGTTTGCATTACAGATGGCATATGAAAACATTCCAATCAACTTCAAACGTAACCATTGTATAAATGAAAACTCACAGATGGAGAGAAACACAGAGTGAGTGAGTGGTAGTGATTTGAGAGAGACAGAAAGCTTCTCTTTGGATCAAAGGCAAATGACATTTTCAACTTCCAAAGACCTGCATCAGAAGATACAATCCAAACAAGAGGCAGAGGCATTAAAATATGGAAGCCATGCATAACCTCAAGAAAAAAACATATGAAAACAAAAAAAGAGAATACGAGATAATATACCAGTTTGCATGAAGATAAGAAGCGAGTTTTGGTAGCTTCGTCCTCCCATTCTACACCTTCAATCCAACTTTTCTCATTGCATTTTAAGATGAGTCCGTTTTCACCATGCATGCCACTTTGAGAATGGAGTGGAAGTTTTTTCAGATTTGGACAATCTCCTACATCTAATACCTTTAGACATGGAAAGCGTAGAGGACACCAGTAGATATTCTTTAGCTCTGGTAGACGCTCCAACTGAAGAGAAACCAGCTTTGCAAAAGGAACAATCCCTGATTCTCCACCCTTCACAAGCTTTCTCTTTGTTTATTATATCTTCTAGTTGATTTGCTTTGCCAACATGAAGTTTTTTAAGATTTGAAGCAAACATCAGAAACGTCAGCTCCATCAGGCATCTGCAACCAAGTATAAACACTTGGGAGAGGCTCAAGAAACATGGCTCTCTCGGATTGTCTATAGGAGAAAGAGAAACCGTCTTGCTTTTGTTGCATATACTTCCCATCGTTATCTCAGAGATAGTGCAGTCCATAATGTTGAAATGACGGAGCTTGTTCATAGTTACTGGAAAAGCTATTCTAGTTGATTCCAAAATACAGATACTCAGAAATCGTGTACAGCTCATCAACCTATGAGAGCTTAAAAATAGCTCTAAATGTGGAGTTAGACCATCGAACCCTACAGTTAAAATTTCTAAATGCTCCAAGGTTTCTAATTCCTCCACTATGCCGCGATCCCATGAAAAACCACTGAAAGCTAAATTCATATCATCAAATTATGCAGATTTGATATCCCTGCAATACTCGACAGATTACTTGTACTCAAAAGATCCAAGTGAATGAGTTTTTTCAACTCTTGTAAACCCATAGGGAGATGACGTATACCAGTACGTGACAAGTTGAGATATTGCAAGGAAACTAGTTCTGATATTCCATCTGGCACACTGGTGAGATGTTTATTTTGTGATAGATCCAACACAACTAGCTTCGGCATGGACTTGAAGAATTCACTCGAGATATTTTCCAAAAAAATGTTGTTTTGCAAGAGCAAAGTTGTGAGTTCGGGACATTCAGGACTGCCATCGAGTTTGCGAATCTTATTCTTCATCAGTGACATCTTTCTCACAACATTCCAATTTTTAACCTTTGGAATTTCACTTAACCCAACACCTGCATGCACAATGAAAGCCTCCTTTTCTCTTCCCAGTTCAGATGCAATCCACGAGGCCATTTCGCGAACAACATCATGCATATGCACTTGTTCTGTTCCAACTTCTTCCATCAACAAGGATGCACGGACAAGATCACCAATTATCTCATACCCCTTGTTCTCAGCCCTCTCTATACCCTCACTTCCATCTATAATACCTTCGCCTATCAAGTAGTCTATCAATTCTTCTTTATCAATATTATAATCTTCTGGAAACAAAGCGCAATAAGCAAACATGATTTAACATCCTCACCCTTAAGTATCGTAGCTATACTTCAAAAGGGAAGGATCTTATCTTCCATGCCAGAAAACTCTATAGCGTACGAAGTCAAAACATCTATCGCGTGACGCCATTCTTGTATCGTCCTCTTGCATGACATGGTCTCCCCTATGACATTGAGTGCCAATGGTAGGCCACAACATTTTTTAGCAACTATTCTTGCAAGTTCAGGGATCTCCGGATGGCTTCCTAATGTTCTTTGTCCAACCTTCTTTTGGAACAAATCAAATGCTTCATTGTCCGCTAAACATTGGACTTCCATTGGGTCTTCAACCCCCATGATCACATACTTCTTGGGAACGAGTGGTGAAGGCAACTTTGCATCCGTTTTGTGTTGTTGGAAACGGGACTCCAATCTCTGTTAAATCCACCTTCTCCCATATGTCATCTAAAAACAACACAAATCTCTTTTTCTTCAAGAAATTGTATAAACGTACGCCTTTTTTATTCTTTCTTTTTCTCCCACTCCACCAAGACCAACTTTCTGAGCGATTTCATCTTGAATCTTCTCTACATGTAACTCTTTAGACACCACAACCCAAATCACAAAATCAAATCCACACTTTCGCTGAACTTATTGTTGATCTGTGTGAGAAGTGTGTTTCCTACTCCGCCCATACCATACATACCCATAATTCCAACTCCATCTTCCTTGAGATGTTTCCATGCCTTTGAGCATTGTTTCTTGACCAACAATTATGTGTTGAGTTGTCTTTCCTCCATCCAGCTGTTTGAGCTTCATCAGCAATCACTTCAAATTCTACTACTTGAGTTTCTCAACCTCTTTCAACGACAAGAAAACCTTTTTCCCGTAACGGTAACTAGATCTTAAACTCTTTGAGCAAAACCCACAAAGACAAGCTTTTGAAGTTTCATCTCTAGCACTAAGAAGATCACTGACTTTTTTTCAATACTTGCAACTCTATTAAGCCATACCTCGATTTCGGCAAGCCTTTGCTGACCTCTATCCTCATCTCTTGTGACCCTTTTTGACAAATCATCACGCTTAGCCTTGAGCTCTTCCATGGTTGTCACCAGAGCCGTGAGATTCTTCTCCAGATTATGTATACAAGCTACTTTCTCGTCACTCCAGTTAGAGATTTTGTTTATACACGGATCACAAGGTATCGAGAAAGAGATACCCATTTTACACAAAGGAAGAGTCTCTGAGATATGAGATTTTACTGATCTGAGCAAACCGGAGAAAATGCGGAGAATAATTGAAGTCTTAAAGATAAGACTTTCTTTCGGGTCCACAGTCCAAACACTCAATAAATTTCACTTGGTTGTTGACTTTGGTGGGGCATACTAATCACAAAGTCACTCTCCACAGCGAAGAGCATCTTCCCACAGATTTATAAAGATTTATTTAAGAATTTTTACGTCTAATATTTAGCAAATTCTTACCACTGCACATGGAGAGAAATTTTAAAATGGTTGAGAAACTTAATGATGTTGCTCTTCTTCAGAGACTCCTTTTTCATTTCTTCCTATGTTCTTGATGATTAGCCAATAAAACTCTTTGTTTTATACATTCCTCTGTTCTTGAGAAACGAATGGCAGTATAAACACAATATCTTAGGGTATTAATTTACTTCTAACGGATCTTTCTGCTAATGTGTATACAAAGAGAAATCTTGGTAAGCTTGAGAAACCAAGTGATAATCTTCCCATTCGTCTCTATACGTCTCTGGATGCGCTCTCCTCCTCACACCAGTCGTCAAATACATCTCTTTCCTCCACTCCTCTGTTCCTGAGCATCCGCATTGTGAAGCCAACCAATCATTGTACTCAAACTGTGAAACAACAACAACAAAAGACGTTAATTCGGTTCTGTTCAGTTTCGGTTTATGTTGCGGAATCATAAGTCAAAGAGATTCTTACTTGAGCATTCCCCATTTGATGAGTATATCGCTTTGGGATCCCTTGAGCTTCAAGTGTTGCGTAGAAAGATTTGATCTCTCCCATCATATCTTCCTTAGACGGAAGCATAATCCGACCGGACAAAACACCGGCGATCCACTTGCCTTGCAGCTCAAACAACGGAAACGGTACAACCTTCCACGGTATTCCCATGAAGGAGAGCCACGGCGCTAATGCCGGAGGGAAGACGTCTTTGTACAACGGTCCAACACGGTTATCATCAACGGTAACATTTCCATTTGTTTCAAGAAACGGGAAGTGGTACTTGTAACCAGTGCAATGCATGATAACATCAACAAGAATCGTTTCCCCGTTCTGAAAAACCACAGAACCATCTTCATGGACACGCTCTATCTGTGCATGAGATTCAAGAAACCATCGACTGTTATTCTGATCAACAACTAATGATGGTAAAGTACTTAAGCGCTAAACTAACCATTGAATGCATCCACAGGTTACTGTAACCGGGCTGTTTGATAAACGTATCAGCTGGATTTGACCGATAAGCCACATGAACCTCTTTGGCGAATCCAGCAATGTCTCTGCTTATATCAACAGCACTTGCAGAGTTCCCAATCAGCACAACAACCTAATCAAAAGGTATCATCAATCTTCACATTATCTTCTACCATAACATTTCTGAAGAATCTGACACTATGATTCTCTGAAGTGAGTACCTGATCTTTGAAAGGTTCTGGAAGACGATAGTTATGGCTATGCATCTCCTTCCCTGGCCAAGAACTTATCCCTAAATCATCACAATCAAAGCTTTAGATTCAATGGTTCTCTATAAAGCTCTGTTTCAACATTCGATCTAACATTTCTGAGATCAAACAAAGATTCTAGGACTAAAGAAACACCTAACAAGCCAAGCTATTCAAAGATCAAGATCTTGAATTCACAAATGATGATGAATCACAATCACACTTATCACTGAAGCTTATGCTTCACTGTTCCTGTGAAGTTCTATTTCCACAGTCAAGATGTTGAAATTCCAAGAGGAGAAATCAATTGAGATTACCAGGAATTTCAGCGAGACGAGGCTCAATGTAATGTCCATTACAAACAACAACAGCGTCGTAAATCTCATCGCGATGAGTTTTCTTCTCCTTCTCTGTAGATTCGATTCTCCATTTTCCGATTCCTTCATCGCCGTCGCTTTTCGCCGCCGGAGAAACACGCACAACCGCCGTCTCGAACCGAATCATCTCCTCGATCCCAAACTCCTTAGAGAAATCCTGCAGATACGCCAGAACTTCACCGTGGCTCGGGAACCTCCTCGGATCTCTGGATTCCGAGACGCCGGATCGGATCGCGAACGGGAAGTCTCTGTATCCCATACACTCTCGAGGGAGGTTCGTCCGGAGAGAGCCATAGACGCTCGAGTGAACGACGGGTCGGGTCGGGTCAACGCTTAACGGATCCGGCTCGACATGATCGGTGTAAATCCAGGTTCCTCCGACTTGTTTCTGCCTCTCGAAGACGACCACCGAGTGACCTTCCCGTCGAAGCTCTCTCGCCGCGACTAATCCGGCGGCTCCAGCTCCGATTACTGCCACGTGGTGCGATCTAATTGGTGATAACGAAGGTGCCATCGTGTTTACGAGATTCCTATAGAGACGGAGAATATTTTTAGGCCCTGTGATAAAATATCTGGCCCACATAGCCATGAACCACAATTGTTATTTTCATTAGATAATCCTCAGTAATGATTTTAAACGCAGCGTTTTTATGAAAGATTGCTTCGTACAATGGTACTTGTAACTTCACATATTTTCAAAACAACCCCATTATTGTTTATAGTATACACAATGGTCCTCATGCAATCACATAATTATGTAAGAAAACGGATCTAAAACCTAAAGTTTTAATTGTTTTCTAAGAAAAAGAAAGTATTTGACAAAAAAAAAAGGAAGTGGACATAAATAACAGAAATATTATTGCTAATCCATAACCGGCAGGCACTAATCCTCTTTTTCTCTCTCTGAGAAAAGGAAGAGAGAGACTCTTCTTTCTCGCTCCTCATGGTAAGATTTCTTCTACGATAAAACCTATAAATATACAGAAGAGCTTACACATGAATCTCTGACCATGAAAGTCTTGTTGTCTTATTGAGAATTGCTTCTTTATTTGGAATGTCTCATATATAGATCTGTTGGTCAATCTAATAATCATTGAAAGTTTCAAGCTTCTTCTCTGGGTAATAATTCCTCTCTTTCTTCTATTAAAAAGTATCTCTTTGTAGTTTGTATACTTTATTAGATTATACTGTTCATATATATTATCCAAAATTTTATACAATGAAGATACTGCTTTAGCTCATTGTATTGCTCTTTTGTTGGAAATTGGGGTAAATCATCAATGAAATCTCTGGTAAAATTAATACCTATAATTGAGATTCAATACCATTTTTTATTTGTTTTATTCTCAGTGTCACAAAATTTTGAATGTATAACTAACAGCATAAATCTCTCTATATATACGAATGATCAGTATGAGTTTTGTTATTTTTTGCTTCATAAAATTGAAGATTTAGCAAATCAGGTTTTTCAAAAACCTTTAAGAGTCTTGTTTTATTGAGTTTTCAGACATGGATATTGATGGTTTTGATTCCTTTTAAGATCACCAGGACAAAAGAATGTCTTCTTAAATTTGGTACATGATTTGAATTCTGGACATTGGCTCTGTTCAACAACATTATGTCATATTAGTATCTCAAGTTATACATAGACATATTGACATGCATTATGAATTTTAGTATAATCTTTTTTTTGTTCATGCATTAGCTCATTTTCTGCTGTTCGATAAAGTAGAAAGGCAAGAATAAAAAAGTGTTAGCTTTGTTTAGGATGTCACAATTCTTAACTATCGTTATGATTTAACTCCATGTATGTTTTCTTTATGGACCATCTCATTTTTAACTGTTGATTGCATTTGATAGGACAAGAAGTGTCGTGATGTATCTCCATAATTTCTTTACTGATGAAACAATATTCAAGAAACGTTCTGAATCGTATGAAGAAAGTTCTAAGCAGAATCAAATCAAAATGGTCACTCTCTTCGGGCAGAAGGTATAGACTCAACTCAAGAATCTTATCATTTTCTTTAATATTAAAAAATGTTACTATTCCAAGTTTTAATTTGTTGCTTTTCTTGTTAACAAAACTAACAATATGCAAGTTCATCAAATTTCATTTTCAGGTATATTCCGAAATAAAAGACTCTCAAGATACAAATTGGTTTGGCAAGAGAAGTGAGGAAGTGAATATCTCAAGTGAATCAGGTTTGCTGGATCTTAACCAAACCCCGGTTAATGAGCCAGTTCCCAATCATCATCAATGCTTCTTCCAAGATTTGAACTTTCCTTCCACTCAGGAGAAGGAAATGAGCAGCGAGAAGAAAGGTTTAGATGAGATACATAGAAAAGACAGTAGTACAGCATCTCCAGCTTCATGCTGCACCGCGGAACGAGAAGATCCGTCTGAAGTAATGGAAATGGCAGCTGAATGTTTACTCCAAATCTCAGCGGTTTCACTCGATCAAAGTCAGGATAACGTGTCACTCAAGCCTAGATCAAGACCTAACAGCTCATCTCAAGATCAAGAACCGAGTTGTTCTTACGATTCATTTGAGCTTCACACTTTAGGAATCACCGAAACCATCCCTGAAGATATCTGTAGTGTGCCATTATCAAAGGGCAAAGATGATGAATATAATAACAAGAAAGAAGTTGGAGTAGTCAAGGTGAGAAGAGGAAGGAGGATGAAGAATTTCCAAAAGGAGATACTCCCGGAACTTTTATCGCTTTCTAGACACGAGATCCGTGAAGATATGAACATATTGGAGACTGTTTTGAGGTCTAGAGAATATAAGAAGATGGATCATGGGAAGAGTAAAGATGGAAAATGCAAACCAAGCCAGAGAAACAACAAAGATTCGACTAAGAGGTATATAGGTAGAAGAAGGAGAGGAACAAAATGATGAAATTTCCTTTATATTATATACATTGATTTAGCTTTTAACACTTGGCGGTTTCGGTTCATATTGTGATCATTGATTCAAGTTGGAGGAGAAAGATATTCAAATTTTTATTGAACTTGTGAAATAGTGAATACTTGCCAACGATTATTTGATTAGTTTGTCCAAAAAAAGACTCGTTAGGGTATGATTCCGCAAGATATTTGCTGACCTAATGGGCCTCTAGTGGGCCTCACATTTGCATTTGGCGTTTCATCAATTTCTAATTTCTCCAATATGTATACTTTCATGATTTCATTTTCAATTTTTACTCTCTTTTTTTTTTCACTTTATATCTTTTACAAATCCTCTTTATAGGGAATCACTTTAGGCTGGTTATTCTTTCCTTAAGGAAGTGTGCTCGCAGTGAAAATTTGAAAAACAGTATTGGTTTTATATTAACAAGAAAAAATTTACAAAATTTGAAATTTTCCAATGATGGTTTTCACTTTAAGAAAAGTAAGCTTTAATAGTAACGTATAGAGATTTAGTGAATGAAAATATCTAACTATACTTGTAAAGAATTGAATGTCAAGTCTCAAGAATCAAAATCCAACTGCACAAAAATATGTAAACAATTGACTGAGTAATAAAATCTCTATTTATGACATTGTAAAAGCCAACGCACCCAAATATTCAGTATTTACTCCAGCATTAATTAAGAAATCGATTACCCGTGGGAAAGAAACAGATCTAGTTACCATTTTTGTTTCTGGTCAACAAAATTAATTACCATTTATCAACACAATTTTCTACCAATTTATACATCAGGAAAATAAAACATTAGCGGAAAATTGCGTTGATAAATGAAATTACATTGTCAAAAAAAAAGTTAGAAAAATAAAAATAAAACCATTTTTCCAATTTATTTTTACAGCCGGTAGATTATGAGAAAACAAGGCAATACTGCACGTGTATCGAACACGAGCAACTCACCGTCGTCACCACTCACTGAGTCAAACCGTGATCGTACCTCCGAGTCAACCGAATCGTACCTTAACTCGCTCTGCTTCGAGACCCGACCAGCTATGACCCGGCAAACCAGCATTGCCTTCCTCCCTTTACCTCCGCCGGCTTTATCATGCGCCGTGCAACTCCCGGCGAACGTATAGATCGACGCGCCGCCACCTTTTCCTCCTAGAACACCCCACGCGCCGCCTCCGTAACTCGGACCCAAACAATAAAACCGCATCGTCTCGTTCCCGTCGGCGACCGAACGCGCGTTCTCTTCACGCGATTTCACCACGCTCCTCGTCTTCACGGCTTCGCGGTACTCCTCGAACCGGGTCAAAGTCTTCGACCCGTTTTGCACCTTGAAAATCATTTCGATCCGACCCGAAAACGGTTTCGGGCCCCAGCTCGTCTGGAAGATAATCTCCACCACGTTACGCGACGGATGCCCTTCCTCAAGTTCCGTCAATGTCGGCAACAACGGGTCGCGAACTCGGGTCGCTGAATCAACGGACGATCGAATCCGGGTCGAAGGAGCTAAAACCGGGTCGGGTTCTCTTTTATCGGGTTTTGGATTCGGTTTCTTCGGTTTCGGTTTGGGTTTTTTAGCGTCGATCACGTCTTTTAGACTCTGAGTGCTTCTCCTGCAGCTGTAACTTGATATCAGATGTTTCGGACTCGGATTCGAATTCGGGTTTGGGTTTTTTATTGGTTTGTAAACATCATCGAAAGCTTTCGACTTGCACTGTAACGATTTGACCCACCCGCTCGCCATAACCAGGATCCGAGAGGCGAGACCAAAGCTCTCTGTTTTTTTTTCTCTCTCTCTCTTAAAAAAACTTTGAAGCAGAAACAGAAGCAGAAGAAAGCAACATGGCGCGATAATGATGATGATGAATATTAAAAGTAGACGTCGGAACTTGGGAGTGTAACTACGATAATACCCTTCGTTTTAAAAGGAAAGTCTCACGTATTCCGGTGGGCACTTTTGTCTTTTCAGTACTGCATTTTTTGGTCTACCTTGTTATATCAAAAATGGAAGGAAACAAAATTATTTTTATAGAAACAGAAGTTTGGTTTTTGATTTATGTACGATAATACTAAAAAAACAAAACCGTAACGAAAATTTGACTTCAGGATTTTCTTGTTTTTTTGTATTGGTACAGTCTTGTGATTATTTTGTTTCCTCTTGTGTTGTTAGTTTAGTTGTGTATCAAAATTGGAAGAAAGCAATTTCATTTTTATAAGAGCAGGAATTTTTGGTTTTGATTTTATGTAAGAAAACATACAAAGAACAAATACGGAAATTAAATGTAATGAAAATAATTGACAGTGGGGTTTAATTGTATTTTTATTTGAGGTACAGTCTTGTGATTGTTGTCCTTGTATCATAAATATGGATCGCAAAAGAACACAAATAACATTTTTTAAAATTACGTCAAATTTTGCAACTCTTTGTTTTTATCTCAACAATAGAGTTTCACATGTAAGGTCTAATCAAGTCAATTATGGTATCTGGATCTTCTAGTCGATGACAAGCATGTTTCGAAATCGATGTGGTTTTCAGCGCTATCATACAAAACATACTCAACCACTTCTGCTAGAGAGAAAGATACTTGGCAAAAAAAAAAAAAAAAAAATCATTTCATAGCACTCGTATTTTGTAAGAATCATAATTCGTTATCGTATTTGAATCAATCATTGATCAATAGTACCTTGTTTGGATTATAAAAACACCAAATTCAACCACCTAACTTTTGTCTGTTTAGCTTAATATTAGTCTATGTTTTAGAAGTATACTAATTCCAAAATCAAACTAAGTAAGACTCCAAATATTTTTTTTTGGTAAAGAGTAAGACTCCAGATATAAACACAATGTAAATATTATATAGAACTAGGATATGCGAATCTTAATCACTTGTCATCCTACTATTATAAAAATATACTGCTAGTTTAAAAAGTTCAGACTCTATCGTGGTTATGGGAATCTTTTGGAAGTTAGAGATTTACAAAAACAAAATGGAAGAATAGAAGAATGGAAGCTGCCAACGAAGAACTTAATAAAACAAATCGCACTGAAAATTTTGAAATTCTCGCATAATGTCACCCATTTTCTTCTCTTTGTCGTATGTCTCCCTCTCTTTTTTATACTTTAATTACACATTTCAAAACGATTACTTATAATAAGCTACCCTAACCATATAGTTAACCTTGTCTAACACAAGCATTTTATTAATCAACGATAAATGCTTATACAGCTTTGTTGGTTGGTTCTGTTAACGAGTACATGTTCACAATACTAAAATCTTATACTAGCATATTTCCTCTGTTTAACTATACTGTATATAAATTTTATTTGTTTACGTACAGAACTGTCGTTTTCAATTTACTACCTTAGAACAGTGTTCTTTTTGTTTCTTGTAAACAGGAGAAAATTGAAGAACTACAAACAGGGTTTTAGATTGTCACTAGTTAGCTCAATCTATTTAGGCTGTCATCTTTTAGTTAAAAAAATTTTGGTTAAATTCTAGACTAACCATATGATTCACATGTATTATGAAGATTTTCAATGAAAGAAGCCAGAGTTATACCAGCTTAGTCTGGTTGGTTATACAATTATTCAAAAGGAGAAAAATAAAGAATTATAAAACTGGTCTATAAGAAATGTGTATATCGAAAATAACAGATCATATATGCATTATATAACTACTTCATTTTTATGGTGAGAATGTTATTTTTTTAGCTAAGAAACTTTTGGGAGAGTGGGTCGTGTAGTAACATGAGGAGGCCACAACGTTGAAATATGTAAACACATAGTTAAAGCAATTCGATTAAACAATTGTACAAAAAGTAAAACAAAACAATAGAATAATACATACTCCCATTCCGCACGTAATGATAAATGGTTTGAATTCATGTCCAAAGTATTTATTTAAATACTGAACATCAACTAAATATCCTTAAACTTTCAAAATTATTCAAAACAACACTCACTATTTGTGAACACTCTCACTATGTCTTTTGAAGTATATATATCTATTATACCAAAATTTGAAATAGTGAAAACCATGCATTACTTAGATAAGTTAGAGTAATATAAACTATAATGAGATATCCTTTTTTTTTGTCAACAGCCTATAAGTCCTACAAGAGATATCCATTTATATTTCGTTTTCCACATACAACGCTCCTTAGAAAAAAAATGCTTTCTTAGATTATTCATTAGCTAAACTATTTAATACAAAACATTATGTAGCAACATGTAGTCGTTAATAGAAGAAAGGAAAAGAAAGTATAGTCGTTGAAATTTGTAGAAAAGAAAAGAACTAAATCCATGTGGACTAAGCTGATAGTTAGGAAAGTTTAGGGTTGCCTCGTTGCTTGGAAAAGCTCAGTGACTATTTTGTGCAAGCTATACAACCCCTAGGGCTTAGTTTGCCAATCTCACATTCATATGCAAATAACATGAATGGTAATAATATACTATATTATAAAGTTTGTAATGATTATGAGATCCACAATAAAGAAATCAAATACAGATGGGGTTTGGAATTGAAATAAAAAGAAGAGCCAAGGAGGAAGTTTGGTTGGGAAGAAACTAGGGTTTTGTGAAAGATGTAAGTTTGTAATTGCAATGTTTTATTTTCGACAGCCTTTTTACTTCACGCTTTGCACTAAGAATAATCTTGGTCTCCTCCGGGAACGGTGTTCAAATTTTAATCCTCTTTTTAGTTTTTTTTTATCCTCAATGATAACTAGTTTACTTTAATTACAAAATACAAACCGGGTGAACCATATCCAAAAGAGCCAACTAATCTCACCAACGTTAAAATGTGACATTGTGAGACTAACTAGGAGTGGCACATGTCGAATATGTCGATCTTTTTTGTTTTTGATATTTATTCAGTTAGATATATATATGTAAGTTAATATTAGCACCCCACCATTCTAAATTTTATGGATACTTTATGGTATATATATCTGGACATTTTTTAAGTATATACAGTACTGTA